AACAGTTCAGCCCTGGCCACTTCTTGGACAAGGATGGAAACTCTGTGGCCAATGAGGCCTTCCTGCCATTCTCTGCAGGTACTAAGCACAGAGCTAGATCCTGGGTGGGGGGTGGGACTGTGGTGGGACAGACACAGGGACAGCTGCCATCTCTGACTTTTCTGTTTCCAGGGCATCACGTGTGCTCAGGGGACCCGCTGGCTCCAGTGGAGCTCTTCCTGACGTTTGCCACCCTCCTCAGGACCTTTCGGTTCCAACTGCCAGAGGGGAGCCGGGGCTCAAGCTGCAGGACATCTTTGGGGGCATTTTGCAGCCCCAGTAGCAGATCTGTGTGGTGGCCCGCCTGAGCAGCCCCAGCCCTGGTCCTAGGGAGGATGGCCTGTAGCCACTGGGATCTGGAGGTCTGTCCCCCATGGAGTCCTTCCTCAGTCTCTTTTGGCTCCTGCAAAGTTAGAGAAGAGGTGGACCAGGGGTTCATGCAGCTCAGCTGCTCGTGGTTGCCCCAAACACAAGCTCTGTGGGTAACAGTGGAGGGTGGACACAGCAAGGAGTCTGCAGAGGTCGCTCGGTTTGGAAGCTCAGGTCTTAGATTAGGCCGGTTATGCTTCGGCAGGGAAAGATTTTACAAGATTGGTCAAGTTTGGCATTAAATCAGTCGGCAAAGTTAATTTTGGGGAAATCAAGCCTCACAAGGCAGCAGCCCCAGTAGCAGAAGGCAAACTTTCAAACAAAACTATAAATATAATCATGCATGCAAATACAAATACAAATACTCTGGATGCTGGGGACTGACAAGCCAAAGGGAAAAAAAAAGGTGACGCAAGGGCAGCTTATTTTCTGCCCTCTCCTGCCCTCTCCTGATCAGAAGGAAGAACTGCAGTTCTCTGCAGACAGGGCAGAGAAAGGTCTCACCCACTCAGCGGAGCAAAGGCCCATATAACTGTTACAGCAAATTCTTCACCAAAGACCCACTTTAGTTTCCACATGAAGGTCCCTACGTTTTAAATCACTGTGTCTCCAGACAAGTCTTGTTTATTACAAAAGAATGACTTGTGGCCGGGCACAGTGGTTCACACCTATAATCCCAGAACTTTGGGAGGCAGAGGCGGGCGGATCACCTGAAGTTAGGAGTTTGAGACCAGCCTGGCCAATGTGGTGAATCCCCATCTCTACTAAAAATACAAAAATTAGCTGGGCGTGGTGAGGGGCACCTGCAATCGCAGCTACTCGGGAGGCTGAGGCAGGAGAATCACTTGATCCCGGGAGGCAGAGTTTGCAGTGAGCTGAGATTGTGCAACCGAGCAAGACTCTGTAGGGGGGAGAAAAAAAAAACTGACTTGCATTAAGGAAATGCAAATTAAAATCAAAATGAAATACCATTACATACCTATTAGAATTGCTAAAAACCAAAACCTGACAATCCCAAGTACTGGAAAAGACGAAAAGCAACTGGAATTCTCATATCCTGCAGGTGGAAATGTATAATGGTACAACTATATTGGAAAACAGTTTGGCAATTTCTTGTAAAATTAAGCATGACCCCACACAACTCAGCAGTCCCACTCCTGGTATTACCCAAAAGAAATGAAAATACATGTTCACACGAATCATACTATATGATTCCGTTTTTGTGATATTCTTAAAAGGGCAAACCTATAGGGACAGAACATATTTGATAGATATGGGGTTGCCAGGATTCGGGAGTAGGGTTATGGGCTGACAGTAGAGAGATGTGAGGGAGCTTTCTAGGGTAATGGAAATGCTGGGTATCTTGGCTGTGGTGTTGGTTACACGACTGTATGTGTTTGTCAAAACTCATACAACTGTACACTTAAAAGGGTGTTATTGTATATAAATCATGCCTTAATAAATTTGAGCTTTAAAAAGAAAATGCCTGGGGCTGGACACAGTAGCTCACGCCTGTAATCCCAGCACTTTGGGAGGCCGAGGCGGGCGGATCACCTGAGGTCAGGAGTTTGAGACCAACCTGGAAAACATGGTGAAATTCCATCTCTACCAAAAATATAAAAAAGTTAGCCAGGCGTAGTGGCACATGCCTGTAATCCCAGCTACTAGGGAGGCTGAGGCAGGGGAGTCGCTTGAACCTGGGAGGCAGAGGTTGTAGTGAGCCGAGATTGTGCCACTGCACTCCAGCCTGGGTGACTGTGTGAGACTCTGTCTCAAAAAAAAAAAAAAAAAAAAAGCCTTCCCTGTCTCCTTTGTGTTATTTTCAGGATGTAGATATGAATGAACCAGTGTCTCTAATTAGTAGATCAATCATTACTGCTACACCAGGCTGGGAGGAGTCCAGCCAGAAATAAGAAAGCATTAAGTATTGGCCAGGCTCAATCCCAGCCACTCGGGAGGCTGAAGCAGGAGAATCGCTTAAACCAGGGAGGCAGAGGTTGCAGTGAGCCGAGATTGAGCCAATGCACTTCAGCCCGGGTGCCAAGAGTGAAACTCCATCTCAAAAAAGAAAAAAAGGATGACTTGTGTGTTCATGACCAGCCTAGCCAACATGGTGAAACTCTGTATCTACTGAAAATACAAAAATTAGCCAGGCGTGCCTGTAATCCCAGCTACTCTGGAGGCTGAAGCAGGAGAATCACTTAAACCAGGGAGGCAGAGGTTGCAGTGAGCCAATATTGCACCACTGCACTCCAGCCTGGGAGGCTAAGGTGGATGGATCACTTGAGGCCAGGAGTTCAAAACCAGCCTGAGCAAAATGGCAAAACCCCTTATCTACTAAAAACACAAAAATTAGCTGGGCGTGGTGGTGCACACCATAGTCCCAGCTACTCAGGTGGCTGAAGCAGGAGAATCACTTGAACCCAGGAGGCAGAGGCCATAGTGACATATTACAGATGTATTACTCCATTTGGAAGTCAAGGCTGCTGCCATCTACATGGGTCCCTGCTGCAAGGAACTTAAGGTCATCCTCCTCCTCCATTTGCAGGACATCAAGCGCTCCAGACATTGTGAAAATTTCCCTTTAAGTTACAACGGGAATCCAGAACAATGCCATGTGGGCCCCTCTGCGTTGTGTGGAAAAGGCGTGAATTTAGTTTTTCAGACAAGCCATGCGCTGGGAGATATCGCAGATGTTGTTCTGTCTGAGCGACGCTGCAGTCCTCTTCTCCTGGAGCCCTCTGTCAGTTTCTCGGGGAAGTCTTCTCCCCCAGGGTCCCATGCCCCCTCCTTCAACTGCTATATCCCCCGTCTCTAAACTTCTACAGAGCCTTCTTCCCCAACACAACAGGATGTTTGTGAGGTCTGATATAGCGTCTTCTCAATTGTATCTCCAGGGTTAACACATCACCTGACACCCTGTAGGTGCTTAATATTTATGCAATGAATGAAGTGCTATTGCAGAGATATGCATAACTCGGTCTGTGAGTACCAAGGAAGGGAACCTCAATCCGAGTGGAGGTCTGGGAAAGGCCTCCTGGAAGAGGTGACACTTGAGGCTGACCTGAAGGACAGGTTGGTCAGGTGTTTCAGGTGGTGAGAACGGGAGCGTGAATGCACAACTGTGGGAACTCAGATGGTTCCTTTGAGTAATGGCCAATGACAGTATGGCTGCAGCTGAGGTCGGGGGAATGGAGTGGCTGGGAACCACACTGACTGAGGGATGGATTATGAAAAAGTGAAAGCCTGCTTTCCATTTCAGGCTTGGACTTTGTATTTATTTATTTGTTTGTGAGACAGGGTCTCACTCTGTCACCCAGGCTGGCACTATCTCAGCTCACTGCAACCTCTGCCTCCTGAGTTCAAGTGATTCTCCCACCTCAGCCTCTCCAGTAGCTGGGATTACAGGTTTGTGCCACCTATGGCACAAAACTCTGGCTAAGTTTTGTATTTGTATTCGTTTTTTTTTTTTTTAGATGGATCTTGCTCTGTCACCCAGGCTGGGGTGCAGTGGCTCAATCTTGGCTCAGTGCAACCTCTGCCTCTCAGGTTCAAGCGATTCTCTTGCCTCGCCCAACCGAGTAGCTGGGATTACAGGCACGCATCACCATGCCTGGCTAATTTTTGTATTTGTATTTTTATTTTTTTGAGATGGCTCTCGCTCTGGCACCCAGGCTGGAGTGCAGTGGCATGATCTTGGCTCACTGCAACCTCCACCTCCTGGGTTCAAGCAATTCAGCTGCCTCAGCCTCTTGAGTAACTGGGATTACAGGCACGTGCCACCACGCCCGGCTAATTTTTGTGTTTTTAGTAGAGACGGGTTTCACCATGTTGGCCAGGCTGGTCTCAAACTCCTGACCTCAGGTGATCCCACCACCTCAACCACTCAAAGTGCTGGGAATATGGGAATGAGCCACCACACTTGACAGGCCTGGACTTTTGTTTTAACATACAGAATAACACAAAGTGGTAAGATGTAGAAGAAAGAGTTGTAATTTAAGAAAAACTTGGCTTGCGACGTTGGTTCCTCTAGCGGCCAGCCCTGCCACGCTGGGCCAGCCCCGTGCCCTCTGACCTGAGGCTCAGGGAAACAGCGATGACTTCTCCCTCCAGCGGGGCTCTGTGGCGATTAATGCGATCGTAGGGAAAGCGCCTGGTATATGCCGTTACTCAAAAAGTGTCAGCTGTGCCTCTTCGCTCTGGCCTCATCCTCCTCACCTGCAAATGCGGGGAGGCCGGGCCACTCTCGCCGGTGTGTCCCGGAGCCCGCCGAGCGCTCAGGTGGGAGGGGAAGAAGGGCGCCAGCCTGGCGTCCCGGCACCGTGGACGGTTCGCGGCCGCTCAGCCGCGCGGGGGCGCTCTAGACTGCTCCTCGCGCTCTACGATGTTCCCTTCGCCCCGGAAGTGGTTTCCCGGCGGGGGTTGGTGAGGTCGGGCCATGGTGGGGCAGAGGTTGGGAAGATGGCGTGGCGAGGCTGGTCGCAGCGAAGCTGGGGCTGCGGCCCGGCGTGGGCTGCGCCGGTGGGCGGCCGCGGCTGCGAGGAGCTCACTACGGCCCTAGCCCCGCCGCGGCTGTTCGGACGCAGGTAATGGCCGCCGCCCTGGGTTTCTCGCCTCTAGGTCCCTGAGCTCCGGCCGTGGCATCCTCAGGGGCGGAGGCCGTCTGGCCTCGTGCTGCTGTCCCTGCTCTCTCCTCTCTCGCGTCGGTCAAGTCCTGGCTTCTCGCCGCGCCGCCCTTGCCCGGCCCTCCGCTAACTTGCGCTTTCTCTTTTCCGGTTGGGGAGGACGTGACGGGAAGGGGAACTAAGCTGAGGGTTCACTCCGTGCCACGCTGCTGTAGAGCCAGTTTCTGAAGTGAAGCATAGTTAGTCCAGCTGGTGGAATGGCGGAGCTTCTCTTCCCATCTGATTGTAAAGGCTGCGTTCCATTAAACTAGTTGTCTTCTTTAGCTTCTAGTGAGCCAAGGGAGGACGAAGGCAGCGGGAGGGCATCACTTTGTGACTTGCAAAGTGGTGGAAGAGGCTTTTGTGTTGAATTGAGACAGTGGAAGATTTGGTTTCCGGTCGATTTGCAAAGAAAACTACCGAACCTTCCGAGTAGAAGGGTGAAGCGTATGGTGTATCAGTATTTGCTGATTTTTGCATTACAGTAATTCATTTCTTATTTGAGAGGGGAGAGAGAGATCCCTCAACTATTTAAGAATCCGATGTGCATTTGGCTTTGAAAATTTTCCTCTTTTGTTCAGAGCTTCACTCCTACCAGTTTCTGACTAGGTTAGATGGGTGCCTCGAATCCATCTGATTGCTGGTAATAAGAAATACTAAAGCCGGGTGTGGTGACTCACACCTGTAATCCCAGAACATTGGAAGGCCGAGGCGGGGGGTGGGGGGCGGATCAGGGGGATCACCTGAGGTCAGGAGTTCCAGCGGGCGTGGTGCTGCTTGCCTGTAATCCCAACTACTCGGGAGGCTGAGGCAGGAGAATCGCTTGAACCTGGGAGGTGGAGGTTGCGGTGAGCCCAGATGGTGCCATTGCATTCCAGCCTGGGCAACAAGAGCGAAGCTCCGTCTCAAAAAAAAAAAAAAAAAAATCAAGTGTTTATCACAGGTGGGATAGCCAGTGGTAAATAATCGAGGCCCTAATGTGGTGGAGCCATTGCCTAATCTCAAGAATCACCTGGAGAGTTTATGTGGTTATTTTATATCCCAGGCCTCACCCCAGTCCTACCAAATCACAATCAGGAGAGGGGTGGCAGAGTGAAAACCTGTATGTCCTACAAGCATTCCAGGTGAATTTTATCAGGGGCTTGTGAAAACCTTACATACATTGCATCCTCATACAGTGTAGCAGATCTGTCAGGCACTAATCTTAAACTTCTGAGGAGGAGGAAAATGAGGACAGGTGGAAGTGGTAATCCCATTTGAGATTGCGTGGTTTAAGGGGGAAGAAAAGATTAATACTGGCTGGGCGCGGTGGCTCACACGTCTGTAATCCTAACACTTTGGGAGGCTGAGGCAGGTGGATCACCTGAAGTCAAGAGTTCAAGACCACCCTGGCCAACATGGCAAAACCCTGTCTCTACTAAAAATACAAAAAATTAGCCGGTTGTGGTGGCAGGCGCCTGTAATCCAAACTACTTGGGAGGTTGAGGCAGGAGAATCGCTTGAACCAGGGAGGTAGAGGTTGCACTGAGCTGAGATTGTGCCACTGCACTCGAGCTTGAGCAACAGAGTGAGACTCCATGTAAAATAAATAAATACTGTACACGTATTAGGAAGCAACAGGAAGTGTGTTAAACATTTAAGGTTTATGTGCACGTCATTGTACTGGTTTTAGAAAGGGGAAGCAAAAGAAAACTAATGAGCCTCCAGTAAAAATTGGGCATGAAGATCATTTGAAACAGTAAACAAGAAACACATGAAATATTGAAGATTAAGATTTAATGTTTGAAAAGCCTGCCATTTGTATAGAAAGTTTAAAAATGACATTTTTGTGGTTGCAAAAAATATATACATTATGAGAATATATGCCTGAAATAGAGCACTTGCCTCTGGAAATAAGCGCTTAAAGTTAATAGAATCAGTTACCTTATATATAACCTTTATATGCTGACTTCTTATGACTGAAATTTTAGCATGAATGACGCAGTCCATGTCATTTGATGTATTAATAGTAGGCCTGAAGTGGGACCAGGAATTTGCATTGTTTACAGGTACTCTGGGTGGTGACACCAGGGTCTGAAAACTGCAGGCCCAAGGCAGCCCACCAGCCAAGAATGGTGGTTTAAGGTCTTAAGGATTGTAAAACAAAAGTAGTATATGTGACAGATTTCACTAGTCCACAGAGACCGAAGTATCTTCTGTCTGGCCTTTTACACAAAAAGGAAAAAATATCTCATTTGGGCTCTTCGCAGACTTTACTATACCAAGCTTTTCGGCCTGAAAGTAGAAACGTGCATAGTTTGCCAGTTGTATGGAACCATCCAAGGGAAGAGAAGAGTTGAATTTTAACACTTACTATTTTATGTTTTTAGAAAGCTTGTTGTTTGTGTGGAAAATTTATATTGATTTGATAGTCTGTGTGTGTATCTCCTTTTTTTCTTTTCTTTTTGAGACAGAGTCTCACTCTGTCCCAGGCAGTTCCCCTGCCTCAGCCTCCCTAGTAACTGGGATTACAGGCGCGCGCGCCACCGTTTTTTTTTTTTTTTTTGTATTTTAGTTGTGATGGGGTTTCACCATGTTGGCCAGGATGGTCTTGATATCCTGACTTCGTGTTTCCACCCGCCTCGGCCTCCCAAAGTGCTGGGATTACAGGCCCACCACGCCTGGCCTTTTTTTTGTTTTTTTTAAAAAAGACAGAGTCGGTAGCTAGGATGCCTTGTGGAAGCGGAAGCTGCACCTCCCACATGGCCCCTTCGGCCAGCCGGGCCTCTCAGATGAGAGCTGCACCCAGGCCAGCACCAGCCGCTCAGCCACCAGCAGCGGCACCCCCCTCTGCAGTTGGCTCTCCTGCTTCTGTGCCCTGGCAGCCAGGTCTGCTGTCCCAGATGGCAACCACTGCAGCTGGCGTGGCTGTGGGCTCTGCTGTGGGGCACACACTGGGCCACGCCATTACTGGGGGCTTCAGTGGAGCAAATGATCCTGAGCCTTCGAGGCCTGACATCACTTACCAGGAGCCTCAGGGAACCCAGCCAGCACAGCAGCAGCAGCAGCCTTGCTTCTATGAGATCAAACAGTTCTTGGAACGTGCCCAGAACCAGGGGGACATCCAGCTCTGTGAGGGTTTCAGTGAGATGCTGAAACAGTGCCAACTTACAAACGGATTGGCCTAATCAAGAAGTTCAAACTGGAGAAATGGAAAACCAGCTCTTATAACCAAGTTAACTTAATATAAAAATTTAATTAATAGTGAAGGTGTAAAGTGTAGCCATCAGGTAAACCTCTCCTGTCATTCCTAGCTTCCTTGCTTCGGAATTGAAATGGAAGGGGGTTTTCCTACTCTGTAGAATTTGGAGCTGGTGAAATGTTTGTGTGGCCTCCTTAAACTAGCTGTTATGATTTTATTCTTTTTGAGTTAATTAGAATAAAGTGATTTTCTTCCCCCCCCCCCCAAAAAAGAGTCTTGCTGTGTTGCCCAGGCTGGAGTGGAGTGGTGCTATCTCAGCTTACTGCAATCTCTGCCTTCCAGGTTCAAGCGATTCTCCTGCCTCAGCCTCCCAAGTAGCTGGGATTACAGGCATGCGCCACCATGATGCCTGGCTAATTTTTGTGTTTTTTAATAGAGACGGGGGTTTTGCTATGTTAGCCAGGCTGATCTCGAACTCCTGACCTCAAGTGATCTGCCCACCTCGGCCTCCCAAAGTGTCACAGGCTTGAGACACCATGCCTACCCTCAATTATCTTTAGGTAAGATATTAGTGAGTCATGTACATTATATTTTGTTTTAACTGACCATCTATTAACTCAAGATGGGGTCAAGAAAATAATTGTGGCATGCCAGAGTTTATGTAGACTTCCCCCCCAAAATATCGTTTGTTTTCTTAAGAGGTGGGTTGCTCTGTCACCCAGGCTGAAGTGCAGTGATGCCATCATAGCTCACTGCAGCCTCAAACTGCTGGGTTCAAGGGATCCCCCTCCCCTGCCTCCAGAATAGCAAGGACTACAGATACACACTACCATGCCTCGGGCTCTATTTTAAGTGGAATGAATCTAATCAATTATGTATGCTTAGACACATTTTGTCTCCATTTGAACATTAGGCCATTTCTACTCAATTTGTTCTACAAATCTTGAGTAACAAACATTAGTGCTGACCTGTATATTTAAGTTGTATTGTCTTTCCCCTTGCACTCTCAAAAACAATTCATAAGGGCTGTGTGGTGGCACGGGCCTGTAGTCCCAGCACTTTGGGAGGCTGGGGCAGGAAGATTGCTTGAGTCTAGGAGTTTGAGACCAGCCTGGGCAATATAGGGGCCCCTGTCTCCACAACAAATTAAAAAAATTAATGCGTATGGTGGTTCTTGCCTCTGGTCCCAGCTACTTGGGATGTTAAGGTAGGAGGATTGCTTGAGCCTGGAAGGTGAGCGCTGCTGTGAGCCACCAGGGCACTACCACACTCCAGCCTGGGCGAGAGAGAGAGACCGTGTCATATAAAACTCAAAAAAACCAGAGCATTTCATGAGACTGTGTTGTCACTCACTATTAGGTCAACAAACATGGATATGACGTTTTCTGCTTAAGTTACAGGGCTGTATTTAAAAAGCTGAACCATGACCGTGTGGCTGGTGGCAGATTAAGTGTTCATGGGTCCTCCCATTTGAGCACATTTGGTTGCCTCCACAAATCACTCATTATTGGCAGAAGGACCAAAGCAGCAGACTCAAGGCAGGCCTGCCTTCATGAGCTGGTAAATGCCTCAAGCGACCCTCTTCCCCATCCCCATCCATTTCACTGTGGTGCTTCACCTTGTTTTCCTGACTTATTCAGGTCGGTAATTTATTTTTCTTTCTTATATACCCATCCGATTCAGTAGAGCCAGATAGCCTAAACCCAAGAATAAGTTCTCAAACATTTGCAGTTAGAGACATTTATCATGCTTTTCCTGGTTTGTTTCCCACTTGAAGAAATTTAAGGCCAGGTGCAGTGGCTCATGCCTGTAATCCTTTGGGAGCACTTTGGGAAGCACATTGGGAGGCCGAGGCAGGCAGATCATCTGAGGTCAGGAGTTTGAGACCAGCCTGGTCAATATGGCAAAACCCCATCTCTACTAAAAATACAAAAAAAAAAAAAAAAAAAAAGTCAGGCCTGGTGTCAGGCACCTGTAATCCCAGTTTTTCAGGAGGCTGAGGCAGGAAAATCACTGGAACTCGAGAGGCGGAGGTTGCAGTGAGCCAAGATGGCGCCACCGCACTCCAGCCTGGGCAACAGAGAGATCAAAAAAATAAAAAATTTTATTTATTTAATTTGACCCAGAATTCGCTGTTTTGCCGAGGCTGGAGTAAAGTGGCATGATCTTGACTCACTGCATCCCCCGCCCTTCCAGGTTGAAGCAATTCTCCTGCCTCAGTCTCCCAAGTAGCTAGGATTACAGGCATGTGCCATCATACCCGGCTAATTTTTGTATTTTTAGTAGAGATGGTTTCACTATGTTGGCCAGGCTGGTCCTGAACTCTTGACCTCAGGTGATCCACCCACCTTGGCCTCCCAAAGTGCTAGGATTATAGGCGAGAGCCACTGAAAAAAACAAATTTAAAACGAAAGCTCACTAAAGAGAGAAAATGTACCTTATAATATATAATAAATATACTTACCACATCTAAAAGTGTCCTTATGCCAATAGAAAACCAAATTCCAACTGACCTAAACAGTTAGGGGAATTTATTGGCTTACAAAAGTCTAGAGGTAGGACTGCCTTCTAGTGAGACAAGTCCAGTGTCTGAAATTGTCACCAGACACCATTTTTCTCCATAGCTTGTCTCTGCTTCCTAAGTGTTGGCTTCCTTCTCTCAGCATGCTATCTCCTTGTGGTTGAAAGGTGGCTGCCAGCAGCTCTTGGGGGCTATATATTTTTAGGTGCAAATCTAGCAGAAAAGTTGTCTTCTCCATTATCACAAACAAAATCTTGAAATTGAATTTTATTGGATCAGATTGGCCTAACTTGGGACAGGTGCCCATCCTTGAATCCCTTGAAGTTGCCAGGGGATGGGATGTGAAGGTTGGTCTAAGCCAGTCATGGGCTTGGTACACCTCATCAGACCAAATGGCTGGAAATTCTGGGGTCCGGTTTGGGAAAGGAGAAGACAGCATGGATGCTGGGAGTCAGTTCTAGTGAAATGTTTGTATTGGAGCTCTTTGTTTTATTACCTATTAATCTGTAGGCCAGCAAGCCACTCTAATTTAAGTACAATTATTGTTGGAAGAATGAAGAATCGGGTTCTAGCTCCTTGCTATTCTAAGTGGCTCATGAACTGGCAGTTTAGGCATCATCTAGGACAGGAGTTTGGCGAACTTAGCTTATAAAAAGTCAGATAGAAAAGATGACCGCATATGGTCTTTGTCACGTATTCTGTCCCTTTCCTTTTAACCAGCTCTTTAAACATGTAAAAACCATTCTCAGTTGGAGGCTCAAATCCACTCTACAGGCCATAGTTTGTCAACCCCTAATTTAGGCACCTGTTTAGAAATGCAAAATCTCAGACTCACCTTGCTCCAGACCTACTAAATTAGAATCTGCTTTTAATGAGATTGCCAGGTGATTTGTATGTAAACTAAAGTTTCCTGAAACCTGTGATATTAATAGATCGCAACTCTGGCGGCACATGGGAGTCACCTGGGGCGGTCTTACAACTAAGGCCTTGGGCCCACTCCTAGAGATTCTACTGTGGTTGATACAGGTGGAGCCATGGTGCAGGATTTTTAAGAGCTCACTGGGTGATTCTAATGTAGAGCCAGAATTCAGAATGACTCTCTAGACTAGGAAGCATAGCTGCCTCCGCCGCATCTAGTGTAGCAGGTAAACAACCATGGCCGCAGTATTTTTTAGTTCTTCTCATCCAGAGGTGGAGTTGGCTTTTCCCAATTCCTTGAGCTGGGTTGGACTCATGGCTTGGTTTGACCAGTAGCATGTGGTGGAAGTAATATTGTGCAGGGTCCAGAGTCAGCCTCAGAAGACCTTGTAGCTTTTGCCTTTGCCCACTTGGAACACTCCCTCTGTCATGGCAGAAGCGCCTGTTAGACTATTGAATACCAAGGACCAGGTGGAGAACGAGCCAGCAGACAACCAGCACTGAGGTTCCAAGTACAAGTGAGGCCATCTTACACTCTCCAGCTCTGTTAAGCAGTCAAGAGTACTGGCTGCATTGAGTGATCCAGGGGAGACCAGTGGAATTGGTCCCTAGTTGAGGACAGCTAACCTAGAGAATTATGAGAAATAAGAAATTACAGTTTTAGGCCAGGCATGGTGGCTCATGCCTATAATCCTAGCACTTTGGGAGGCCGAGATGGGAGGATCACTTGAAGCTAGGAGTTCGAGATTAGCCTGGTCATCATAGGAAGACTCCATCTCTTTAAAAAAAAAAAAAAGCTGGGCACCTTGGGTCAAACCTGTAATCCCAGCACTTTGGGAGGTCGAGGCAGGTGGATTACTTGAGCTCAGGAGTTCGAGACCAGCCTGACCAATATGGTGACACCTTGTCTCTACTGAAAATACAGAAATAGCTGGGTATATTGGTTTGCACCTATAGTCCCAGCTACTCGGGAGGCTGAGACAGAATTGCTTGTACCTGGAAGGCAGAGGTTGCAGTGAGCCGAGATTGTGCCACTGCACTCCAGCCTGGGTGACAGAGTGAGACTCTATCTCAAAAAAAAAAAAGAGCAGTTTTAAGCCAGTGCATTTTAGAGTGGCTTGTTATGCAGTAATCAGTGAGACAACTGGGAGAGCTGCCATTCAATCAGGATCTGCTCATCAAAGAAAGATCTGTACTGCCTCCGTTATTTCCGCCAGCAAAATGGATGCCTCACATCTTCATAGACTCCTTTCTGAATTCAAGTGTGATACTAGCATATATGATTAGCACCCCGATCACATCTGGAACCCTAACTACAAGGAGGCCTGGGAAATAGTTTGACTTTCTAATCCCTGCAGCATGTAAATGCACCTAAGCTAATAAGTTCAGTGAGCCAAGACAGAGTATCTAATTCTATCCAACAAGCTCTGTATGTCCGCATGTAACTCCCAGTCCAGGCATGCCTCAAAGATAGTGTGTGTTTGGTTCCACATCACCACAATGAAGCAAGTCACACAAGTTGTTTGACTTCCCAGTGCATATAAAAGTTATGTTTATACTATAGTCTGTTTAGTAGGTAATAGCATTATGCCTAAAGACAATGTAGATACCTTAATTTAAACATGCTTTATTACTAAAAAATTCTAATGATCATCTGAGTCTTCAGTGAGTTATGTTTTTGCTAGTGGAGGGTCTTGCCCCTGTTGATGGCTGCTGACTGATCAGAGTGGTGGCTACTGAAGGTTGGGGTGGCAGTGGTCATTTCTTAAAACAACAGAAGTTTGCCACATCAATTGACTCCTTTCACAAAAGATTTCTCAGTAGCCTGTGATGCTGTTTGACAGCATTTTATCCACAGCAGAACTTCTTTCATAGGAGGCGTGAATCCTCTCAAACTGCTGCTGCTTCATCAACTAAGTTTATGTAATCTAAATCATTCGTTGTCATTTCAACAGTGTTCACAGCGTCTTCACCGGGAATAGATTCCATCTCAAGAAACTACTTTCTTTGCTCATCCATAAGAAGTAACTTCTCACCTGTTCAAGTTTTATAATGAGATTGCAGCAATTCAGTCACATCTTCAGGCTCCACTTCTAATTCTAGTTATCTTGCTAGTTTTTTTTTTTTTAGGTGGAGTTTCGCTCCTGTTGCTGAGGCTGGAGTGCAATGGCGCAATCTTGGCTCACTGCAACCTCTATCTCCCTGGTTCAAGTGATACTCTTGCCTCAGCCTCCTAAGTAGGTGGGATTATAGGCACCTACCACCAGGTCCAGTAAATTTTTTAGTATTTTTAGTAGAGATGGGCTTTCACTGTATTGGCCAGGCTGGTCTTGAACTCCTGACCCCAGGTGATCCCCACCCCCATACCTCCCAAGGTGTAGGGATTACAGGCATGAGCCACCGTGCCCAGTCTTTAATTCTCTATTTCTATCACATTTGCAGTTACTTACTCTGCTGAAGTCTTGAGCCCCCGCAAAGTCATACTTGAGTGTTGTAATCAACTTTTCCTTAAACTCCCGTTAATGCTGATATTTTGACCTCCCTTCATGAATCTTGAATGTTCCTGGTGACATCTAGAATTGTAGATCCTCCCCAGAAGCTTTTCAATTTACCTTGCCTGGATCCATCAGAAGAATCATGGCTATTGCCAGGAATCTGTGGCTGCTGCTTTATGAAATACATTTCTTAGGAAAAAACAAAACGCATTTCTTAATAAGACTAGGAAGTGGAAATTACTCCTTGATCTGTGTGGATGCAAAATGGCTGTTGTGTTAGCAGCCATGAAAACAATACTCATCTTGTACCTGTGCATCTGAGCTGGTTGGCCAGGCACACTGTCAGTGAACAACAATATTTTTAATGGAATCTTTTTTTTCCTTAGCAATTTGGTCTCAACATTGGGCTTAAAATATTCGGGCATGGTGGCTCGTGCCTGTAATTCCAGTACGTTGGGAGGCCAAGGCAGGTGGATCACCTGAGGTCAGGAGTTTGAGACCAGCCTGGCCAACATGGTGAAACCCCATCTCTACTAAAAACACAAAAATTAGCCAGATGTGATGGCAGTTGCCTGAAATCTCAGCTACTCAGAGGGTTCAGGCATGAGAATCACTTGAACCTGAAAGGCGGAGGTTGCAGTGAGCTGAGATTGTACCACTGCACTCCAGCCTGGGTGACAGTGAGACTCCATCTCAAAAAATAAAAATATCTGGGCGCAGTGGCTCATGCCTGTAATCCCAGCACTTTGGGAGGCTGAGGTGGGCAGATCACCTGAGGTCAGGAGTTCGAGACCAGCCTGACCAAGACGGGGAAACCCTGTCTCTACTAAAAATACAAAAATTAGCCGGGTGTGGTGGCAGACGCCTGTAATTCCAGCTACTTGAGAAGGAGAATCGCTTAACCCAGGAGATGGAGGTTGCAGTGAGCTGAGATTGTGCCACTACACTCCAGCCTGGGGGACAGAGCAAGACTCCATCTCAAAAATAAAGTAAAATTAAATATTCAGTAAACCATGCTGTAAACAGATGTGCTGGGATGTCATCTAGGCTTTGTTGTTGGACTTCTAGAGAATGGGCAGAGTAGTTGAGCATCCTTTTTAAGGGCTCTAGTATTCTCAGAATGGTAAATGAGCATTGACTTCAACTTAATCACCAACGGCATTAGTGCCTAATAAACTCAGCCTGTCCTTTGAAGCCAGGCATTGCCTACACTCTAGCAATGAAAGTTCTAGATGGCATCTTCTTCCAATAGAAGGCTGTTTCATCTACACTGCAGATATGTTTAGTGTGGTCACCTTCGTCCTAGGATCTTCTTGATAAGTGGCTGTGGTTTCTACATCAGCACTTGCTGCTTCAGGTTGCACTTATGTGTTATAGAGACAGCTGCTTTCCTCTGTCTAGGAATCATCCTCTGCTAGCTTCAGACTTTTCCTGAGCTTCCTCACTTCTTTCAGCTTTCATAGAATTGAAGAGAGTTAGAGTCTTGCTCTGGATTGGCTGTGGCTTAAGGGAACGTTGTGGCTGATTCAGTCTTCTGTTCAGACTACTATAATTTTCTTCATGTCGGCAGTATGGCTGTTTTGCTTTCTTTTTTAATTTTTTTCGGGGGGCGGGGGGTGGCGGGGAGAGAGAGAGTCTTGCTCTGCCGCCCAGGTTGGAGTGCAATGGCACAATCTCAGCTCACTGCACCCTCTGCCTCCCAGGTTCAAGCAATTCTTCTGCCTCAGCCTCCCCAGTAGCTGGGATTACAGGCACCCACCACCACACCTGGCTAATTTTTGTATTTTTAGTAGAGATGGAGTTTCACATTGTTGGCCAGACTGATCTCCAACTCCTGACCTCAGGTGATCTGCCCATCTGGGCCTCCCAAAGTGCTGAGATTACAGGCATGAGCCACCACACCTGGCCTACTATTTATCTGTTCTCAGGAATAACACTTTAAATTTCCTTCAATAGTTTTGCTGCTGTTGAGACAGGGTCTAGTTCTGTCACCCAGGTTGTAGTGCAGTAGTGCATTTGTAGCTCACTGCAACCTTGACCTCCTGGGCCCAAGCTGTCTTTCCACCTTAGCCTCCCAAGTAGCTAGTATTACAGATGCAAGCCACCACTCTTGGCTAATTTTTAAATTTTTTGTAGAGACAGGGTCTCACTGTGGTGCCCAGGTTGGTTTCAAACTCCTGAACTCAAGCTATCTTCCTGCCTCAGCTTCCCAAAGTGCTGGGGTTACAGGTTGAGCCATCGTGCCCAGCAAGAATTGTTTCTTTGCATTTACAACTTGACTGTGACAGGCTTAGCTTTCAGCCCATCTCAGCTTTTGACATGCATTCTTCATTAAGCTTAATTATTTCTAGTTGGCCGGGTGCAGTGGCTCACGTCTGTAATCCCAGCACTTTGGGAGGCTGAGGTGGGCAGATCACCTGAGGTCAGGAGTTTAAGACCCGCCTGGCCAACATGTTAAAACCCTGTCTCTTCTTAAAAAAAAAAAACAGTCAGGCGTGGTGGTGGGTGCCTGTAGTCCCAGCTACTTGGGAGGCTGAGGCAGGAGAATTGCTTAAACCTGGGAGGCGGAGGTTGCAGTGAGCCGAGATTGTGGCACTGCACTCCAGCCAACGGGCGATAGAGCAAGGCTCTGTCTCACAAAAAAAAAAAAAAAAATTCTAGTGATTTCAAGTGAGAGACATGTGACTGTTCATTTTACTTGAACACTTAGAAGGGATTGAGGGTTATTAATTGACCCAATTTTAAATCGTTGTGTTCCAAGGAGCAGGGAGGCCCAAGGAAAGGGAAGGATGGGCGCAGGCTGGTTGGTGGAGCAGTCCGAACCTGTACGACATTGAGTTCAGTGTCTCATATGGTCATGGTTCGTGCCAACCCAGAACAATTTCAGGAGGAACATCAAAGGTCACTGAGCACAAATCACCATAACAGATAGGAAAACATTTGAAGTGTTGCAAGAATTACCAAAAGATGGCACAGAACTGCCAAGGGAGCACATGCTATTGGAAAAATGATGCTAAAAGACATGCTAGATGTATGATTGCCACGAACCTTTAATCTGTGTGACAAACTTGGGATATCTGTGAAGTACAGTAAATCGAGTTATGCCTGTGTGTGTAATGTATTCAGTATGTGTATGCTGCATCTGATAGGTTCTGAACTTAAGCCTGGGGCCAGCCTGTATAATGTACTCTTAGTGTCCTCAGCCTGACAGACATTTCTGGGGAGATCCTCATGGTAAATATTTTAGGCAAAAAGGTCTGGCTTTGCTTCATTCCAGATTCCCAACCTCATGTGTTTATATTCCTTTTAAAACTTGTGCTTCAAAATTATAAGTGAATTGGTGACAGGTAGAAGTAATCTTTTATTTGAATCGATTGGGTAGTATTAAGCTGCTGGAAATGTAAAAGATTCTCATCCTTTGTATTTCTTGGTCCAGTACGTGACAAATGCTAGAAATCAACAATACTGGGTTACAACTTGCCATGTTCATTCATTCATTCATTCATCATTTATTGAGCCGGAGTCTTGCCCTATCACCCAGGCTAGAGTACATGGTGCAATCTTGGCTCACTGCAACCTCCATCTCCTAGGTTCAAGTGCTTCTCCTGCCTCAGCTTCCTGAGTAGCTGGGATTACAGGTGGCATCACGCTCAGCTGATTTTTGTATTTTTAGTGTAGATGGGTTTCACCACATTGACCAGGCTGGTCTTGAACTCCTGATCTCTCATGATCCTCCTGCCTAAGCCCCCGAAGTGCTGGGATTACTGTGCCTGACTGGCAACTTGTCAACTTTATGGTAAATATATTCGTATTACTTTATGATACACCTTTGTTTTGGCCCAAAGTGACATTACTTGTTTTGATTAATTGCCACTTTACTAACTAGACCTATCTCCAAGTTACTTTGGTATCTTTAATAAAAAATCAAATCGGGCCTGGCACAGTGGCGCATGCCTGTGATGTCAGCACTTTGGGAGGTCGAGGTGGGCGGGTCTCTCCCACTGAAGCAGGAGAATTGCTTGAACCTGGGAGGTGGAGGTTGCAGTGAGCTGAGATTGCACCATCGCACTCCAGCCTGGGTGACCTGAGAGTCTCTGTCTCAAAAAAGGAAAAAAAAATTAAATCTAATTGCAAAGTTAACATCTGCCACTTTAGAAATTATAGGAATGTATTTGGCTGTAAGTAAACTGGTGGTTTTAGTAAGAGGGAGAGTTATTTATCAAATATAGAATGATGGGAGGTAAGTAGCTGCTGTCTGCTCAGTGGCTCAAAAATGTCAAGGTTAGTGTTTGAATCCCTTGGCCTGTCTCTTAGCATTTGAGATGACTGCCAATCTCTAGGCATTACCTCCTTATTTAAGGCGGAAAGAAGGGGCTGTGCTTGACATGAGTGATGCGTTCATTTTTATCAGGTAAACAAAACCTTTCCAAGAGGCTTTTGAAAAATTCTTAAGTCTCATTTGGCCACGGTTCTGTGTGATATGGTTACCACTAGCTATAGGGGAGGCTGGAAAAGTGAAGATATTTCCTATTACAGAAAAAGCAGGCAAGGGGAAAGGGTTGGAAATAGATTTGGAATTAGCTATATGACAGGGTTTGCTAAAGGCTGTTAAATAGCTAATTTATAAGACTGGTCACAGGCTCTGAGGGAGTTAGGAGCCATTTAGAGCAACAGTACCATTGGTTGAATAAGTTCATAACTTTCCAAAATAGATAAACTTGTTCAAACCTTTTCTGCTTTTTCTGTAATACATTTCTTTGAAAGGAATATCACTTATTTGGAAGTGTAAATTCTGAATTTAAAATCTCAAGTCAAATTACTTTATCATCCCTTTCCTCACCATGTGATTTCTGAGTTGAGTGGTCTCTTTGTTGAAGAGAAAGGGCATTCTAGGCAAGAAGTAGTGGTAGACCTATGCCAGTGTTCTGAGTTTCATTAGTCTCCAGAATGCCTGTTAAGATACCTCCACCTGGACATCATATGAGCATCTTTACAATACTTTATTGAGATAGAATTTACATATAGTAAAATGTGTAAGTATTAAATATACAGCTAGTGTATTCTGATAAATATATACACCTGGGTGACTATCACCTAAATCAAGATAAAGACTGCCATCATCCCAGAGAGTTTCCTCTTGCCCCTTTCCGATCAAGCCCCACCCATTCCAGGCAATCACTTTTCTGATGTTTATCACAACAGACGTGTCTGTCAACTTCTTGGCAGTGAAAGTCGCAGAATCACATATGATGTTTTCTTCTGTGTTTGGCTTCTTTTGCTCAACAGTGTTTTTGAGAGTTATCCATGATGTATGATTAGTTCTTTCAGACTTTCTTTCCTTTTTTTGGCCAAGTGTAATATTCCATTATATGAAAATACCACAGAATTTCCCCTGTTAATGGAAATGTAAGTTTCAGTTTTTAGCCAGAGTAATAAAGCCACCATGACTGCAAGCGTGTTAAGCAGTACCCCAGATGCAATTGTTCATCTCTTATCTTCAGTTGCCTGTTGTGAGGCTTCCAGTTTTCCTCATCTTATTGAATAGTACCGCCTTCCTTGGAGAATAGTACCACCATGCTTTGAGTTACTCAAAATAAAATGAAATCATTTTTTGATCTTTTTTATTCTAACAGATAATTATTGACCTTTTTTTAGGGACTAGAATTAGTGATAGAGATATAAAACTAATGGAGGCACGGGCAATAATGGAGATAAGTATTTAAAAACTGCTTTAGAACTCTAGAAGTGCAAAGGAGAGAAGTACCCAACCTGGGGCAGCTAGGGCAGACTTCCTGGAGGAGAAGATATATTAACTGAGATCTGAAGGGCCCAAACAAGTTAAACAGAGGGAAGTATATATGCGTAGCATTGTCATAGGTAGAGAGCAAGGGAGATCAGGAACTGCGAGAAAGTCAGTATCACAGCTACAGAGAGGATTTGAGGTGGTGGAGGGAGAAAGCAGCAAGAGAGGAAGGGGTCAGGTTTAAGGATGTGTGCTGACTTTGATGGGGTGATGAGAAGTTACTGTGGGGTTAAAGCAGGGGAACATTACACTTGTGCTTAATGCAATGTGAAGGGCGCGCTTGGAGTGGGGCAGTGCTGGAAGCAAGGAGGTCTGCTAGGAAACGGTGGCGTATTCCAGGCCAGAAGGGAGAAGCTAAGGAGCTGCATTGGAATTAGGAAGAGATTTTTGGCCCTCTAAGAGGACATTTGAGAAACTAGTGAATGTTGAGGAAAAGCAGTGTCAGGCAAGAAAAATATGCAACAGGTTAAAGTTTATTAAAGTTAAGGAAACTGTTGACATGATCCAGGCATGAACTAAGGGACTAGACCAGGAATTTTAGAAGTATTTTGGATAGAGTTGGCTTTTCATTGGGTAAGAATAAAGGAAAGAAAACTCCAAAATGACTTCTAGATTTTTTTTTTTTTTGAGACAGGGTCTCTGTTGCCCAGGCTGGAGTGCAGTGGTATCATCTTGGCTCACTACAACCTCCACCTCCCGGGTTCAAGAGAGTCTCATGCCTCAGCCTCTAGAGTAGCTGGGATTACAGGTGCGCACCATCACACCCAGCTAATTTTTGTATTTTTAGTAGAGACAGCGTTTCCCAATGTTGGCCAGACTGGTCTCGAACTCCTCACCTTCAGTGATCTGCCTTCCTCGGCCGTGCAAAGTGCTGGGATTACAGGTGTGAGTCGCCGTGCTCAGCCTAGATTTTTAACCTCAGTAATATGGTCCTACTGAAAGAGTTCATCAGAAATGGAGGTGTTTTTAGAGGAGAGTAAATTAGTTCTATTTTGAATATATTGGTTTTAAAGTAATGGGGAGCATATCCAAGTAGCAGTATTCAATACACAGTTGGAAACACCAGAGTAGAAAGTTGAGGTTAGGACAAAAGAAACAAATTTGAATCATTTACCTGCTTAGAAGTCATTCAGGCCACAAAAAATTCAACCAAATGTGCGCTTGTTTTAGGGGCTAGGATACAGAGACAAAAGACATGTCCAATCTCTGCTTTTGAGGAGCTTTGCGGCCAGTAGGGATAGTATGTCATGATATTCCACACTGAATATTATGCATTATATATAATGTTATCCCTGAACATATCCCTTATATAAAAACAACGTACATTGTTATCCCTTAAATAAGGGATAGCCAGGCATGGTGGCTCATCCCTGTAATCCCAGCACTTTGGGAGTCCAAGGTGGGTAGATCACCTGAGGTCAGGAGTTTGAGACCAGCCTCACCAACATGGTGAAACCCCATCTCTACTAAAAATATAATAATTAGCTGGGCATGGTGGTGGGTGCCAGTAATCCCAGCTACTAAGGAGGCTGAGGCAGGAGAATCATTTGAACCTGGGAGGCGGAGGTTGCAGTGAGCTGAGATTGTGTCATTTATACTCTAGCCTGGGTAACAGAGTGAGACTCTATCTCAAAATACTTAAGAAATAATGTGTTCAGGGTACAAACAGGAAGGGATCTTTACTTTGCAACCTGGGAAAGTTACGTTTTTACAAAAGAAAAAGAAGAATGTATGTAAGTTGAGTTTGAATTGGGTAGAGGAACTAGGGTGGAGGAAAAGGGGAAAACCCTGGGAGTTAAAGGTGAATTTTAAGAGTAGGAAATGCTGTTATAGAAGCTAGGACTGGGAGGCGTGATCAGTGGTATTAGATGTTTTGAGGAGGTCAAGCTGTAAAGACTCAAACAACAAAGATTTTTTTTTTACTGTTGGTGTAAGAACTAACAAATATGTTTGGTGGATGTCCCCAAAACAGTGAAATAAAGAAGAGGAGAGGTGGAAGGAGTTTATTAATTTGTAATGGTCAATATTTATAAAAGGAAATAATTATTTGAATTTGGAATGTCTTCAAGGACAATACATGTATTTGTTCTAGAAATTGACCAAACTTTAAACAAAAAAATCAGAAGTCATTCTGAGCTGATTGAAACTGACGGCTGGGTGTGGTGGCTTACGCCTGTAAATTCAGTACTTTGGGAGGCCAAGGTGGGTGGATCATGAGATCAAGAGTTCGAGACCAGCCTGGCCAATATGGTGAAACCCCATCAATACTAAAAATACAAAAATTAGCTGGGTGTGGGGGCATGCACCTGTAGTCTCACCTACTCAGGAGGCTAAGGCAGGAGAATTGCTTGAACCCTAGAGGTGGAGGTTGCAGTGAGCCGAGACTGCACCACTGCACTCCAGCCTGGGCTACAGAGCGAGAAGCCGTTAAAAAGAAAGAAAGAAAGAAACTGACAATTGATGTGGCACCGTGACTCATGCTATAGTCCCTAGCACTTTGGGAGGCTATGGCAAGAGGATTGCTTGAGCCCAAGACCAGCTTGGGCAACATGGCAGAACCCCATCTCTACAAAAAGTACAGAAATTGTAACAGAGTGTGGTAGCTCATGCTTGTAGTCCCAGCTGCTTGGGAGGCTGGGGCAGGAGGATTGCTTGAGACTGAGACATGGAAGCTGCAGTGAGCCGTGATCGTACCACTAGGAGATGGAGGGAGTCCTCCATCGTACTCCAGCCTGGGTGATGGAGGGAGACCCTGCCTCAAAAAATAATAATAATAATTTAGGGTTCTCTAGCTTTTACCAGGTTTTCACATTTCTTCTGTGTGGAGGATGGATACAAATTATTTTGTTGACTGATACCAAGTAATATCCCAAAGTAGTATCCTCTGAAGTTGCTGTAGTTTGTGTATCGCCTTTTCCAGAAAGGTTGAATTTTGTGACTTTGAATTCTGAGAATAGGAGGAGTCCTGGCTGTTTTTGGGCTGTAGAGTGAGAGCAGACTGAGATGCTGATGATGCAGGCCAAGTGGAGGGTCACAGAAGGTGCGGTTTGCAAGACGCCATTGTGTTTCTAATCTGTTATTTTTGCCCCATAGGTTTACCTTCGTTATTCAGCAAAAATGCGGATTCAGAAAAGCACCCAGGAAGGTTGAACTTCGAAGATCAGACACAGGGACAAGTGGTAAAGCACACAAGAGAAGTGCTTTGATCCCTCCTGTGGAAGAAACAGCCTTTTATCCTTCTCCCTATCCTATAAGGACTCTTATAAAACCATTATTTTTTACTGTTGGGGTAAGAGTGCACTTCGCTAGGAGTTACCTACCTTGTTACAAATGCAGTGTTAAAATACTTTGTCCTGTTTGGGCTCCCTTAAAGTAAGGACAGGTGGAGGGGGATCAAAAGGAGCTGGCCTCATGAGTTCTGATTATAGAGTCTGAATTTAATACTTGCTTTTAGAATCTGGCTCACTTATGTAAGCCTTAGAGAATAAACTTAGGGGCCTCATTTGGTACAGCATTTCAAGTGGTGCTAAGTTGGTGTTTTCAGTTTTATTTGAGGATTTATAGCTGGAAACAGGCCCCAGCATACTGTGAAGTTAATAAAATGGGAAACAATAAAATATCCTTTTCGGCGGGGCATGGTGGCTCATGCCTGTAATCCTGGCACTTTGGGAGGCCGAGGCAGGTGGATCAAGACCAACCTGGCCAACATGGCAAAACCCCATCTCTACTAAAAATACAAAATTAGTTAGGCGTGGTGGCAGGCGCCTGTAATCCCAGCTACTTGGGAGGCTGAGGCAGGAGAATTGCTTGAACCCGGGAGGCGGAGGTTGTAGTGAGCTGAGATCGCGCCATGGCACTCCAGCCTGGGAGATGAGCAAAACTCTGTCTCAAAAAAAAAAAATCCTTTTCACTTATTAGATTTCATTGTGCCAGGTATTCCTTCTGTTGGTTTGTAAAAAGCAATGAAAATGAAGTATTGTCCTTGGAAATATGTATCGATCTATTTCCCTTTTAAATTTATTTTTTAATATTTCTAATTTTATATAGTTTACAGGCTGTGCATTTGGATCAGCTGCTATTTGGCAATATGAATCACTGAAATCCAGGGTCCAGAGTTATTTTGATGGTATTAAAGCTGATTGGTTGGATAGCATAAGACCACAAAAAAAAGGAGATTTCAGAAAGGAGGTAAAGATAAACACTGCTTTCTTTGTTCTAGCTAATCACGATTTTAAAAACTGATACATAATAGATGCACATGTTTTCAGTGTACATGATGCATATACATAATGTGTAGTAATTAAATCTAAGTAATTGGAATATCTGTCACCTTAAACGTTTATCTTTATGCTAGGTACATTTGAATTATTCTCCACCTGCTATTTTGAAATATACTATGTGTTAGAGTTTACTGTAGTTACTCAACTGGCAATCCCAAGTTTTGAAGTCTGGTTATTTATGAAGTGCTTTTAGTTAATGGCAACATCAGATTAATAGATGTCAAGTCAGTGCACTTAATATTCTTCAAATTATTTATTACTGTTTTATATGTCTGGTGTTGCACTTGACAGTGTGCCAAGAATTCTGGCCCTCTAATCCATGTGCATCCAAAATCACCTCAGATCGTTGTTAAAAATGTTAATGTCAGCCAGGCGCGGGGGCTCAAGTCTATAATCCCAGCACTTTGGGAGGCCAAGGTGGTTAGGAGCTCGAGACCAGCCTGGCCAACATAGTGAAATCCCATCTCTACTAAAAATACAAAAATCAGCCAGGTGTGGTGGTGCACACCTGTAGCCCCAGCTACTCTGGAAGCTGAGGCAAGAGAGTCGCCTGAACCCGAGACATGGAGGTTGCAGTAAGATAGGTCGTGCCACTGCAGTCCAGCCTGGGTTGACAGAGTGAGACTTTGTCTCCAAAAAAAAAAAAAATTGGCTGGGCGCTGTGGCTCACACCTGTAATCCCAGCACTTTGGGAGGCTGAGGTGGTTGGATCACCTTAGGTCAGGAGTTCGAAACCAGTCTGGCTAAGATGGTAAAACCCTGTCTCCACTAAAAATACAAAAATTAGCTGGGCGTGGTGGCACATGCCTGTAATCCAACTACTCAGGAGGCCGAGGCAGCAGAATTGCTTGAACCCAGGAGGCGGAGTTTGCAGTGAACTGAGATCACACCACTGCACTCCAGCCTGGGTGACAGAGTGAGACTGTCTCAAAAAAAGAATGTTAATAGTTGTTAATGTTTCTGTGTGGAGGATGTCTCAGCTCTACTAAAGTGCAAAGACCACTGTTACACTTGGATCACCTTGCTGGACTGCTTTAGAGCAGCAGTCTCCAACCTTTTTGGCACCAGTGACTGGTTTCATACAATACAGTTTTTCCACAGATCAGGGTTGCAGGGGGGCAGATGGTTTTGGGATGAAACTGTTCCACCTCAGACCATCAGGCACTAGATTCTCATAAGGAGCGTGCAGCCTAGATCCCTCACATGTGCAGCTCACAGTAGGGTTTGCATTCCTATGAGTATCGAATGTAGCTGCTGATCTGACAGGAGCCAGAGTGCTAGTGTTAATTTTCTCTCCTCTCTGTGGCCTGGTTCCTAATAGGCCACAGACCACTACTGGTCAGGAGCCAGGGCTTGGAGACCCCGGCTTTAGAGTACATATTTGAACTGCAGAGAATTTTTCAAAATACACATGCCTTAGGGGTAGGGTTACCAAGTGAATTTCTTTTTTTTTTTTTCTAAGAGACAGGGTCTCATTCTGTCACCTAGGCTTCAGTGCAGTAATGCAGTCATAGCTCACTGAAGCCTCAAACTCCTGGGTTTGAGTAGTCCTCCTGCCTCAGTCTCCTGAGTAGCTGGGACTGCAGCCATGTGCCACCATGCTGGGCCAATTATTTCATATTTTGTGGAGAGATAGGAGTCTCACTTTGTTGCCCAGGCTGGTCTCAAAATCCTGGCCTCAAGTGATCGATCCTTTCACCTTGGCCTCCCAAAGTGCTGGAATTCTACAAGCGTGAGCCACCGTGCCTCTCCCCAAGATGAGTTTTGAAAGTTGGTCAGTGACATCATATTTACACATCTATGGTAAATACCAGCTGTTGAGAAATACAAAAAAAAAAAAAATGGAGCTTTTAGAGATTTTCATTTACTTTATATGTGAGTTGATGTCCCTCTTCTTTCTTAACTGATTTCTTTAAAATGTTTGCTTTTAGATAAAACGTATAAATATTTTATTTCTTTTACTTACCAATGCATATTGAACACTGAGACTGTAGATAATATGTGGTTTCAGGCCCATTTAGTTTCAAGCACTTTTGATTTTTGTGACACAATTGCCCTTCCAATCTGGAGAGTGGGTTGATATCTTTACTTTTCCCCCTGCTAGGAGCAATGTGGTCCTGGCCAGCAAGAGCCTGGGAAGGAAGCCTTGCATTTTCTTTTTACTAATGATGGTCTGAGTTTTCTCTAAGTAGGGAAAGGAATTCACTCCTTGTTTTCGCATGGGCACATCGAGGAAGCATGAGCCCTGTCTCTGTTAGAGAGAGGCTTTATGCCAGAAAAACAGTGGATAATATTTGCAGGTGAAAATGACAATAACTAGCAATAGACTTTTATTCAGTACAATGTATTTGAGAAGATAGTAAAACTGACCTATTCCATTATCCTGGAACTCTTAGAAAGTTGTAGGTTTCCAGCACATGTCTGCACATGAAGTTTTGATATCCAAATATAACCCAGATGGTTCTTGAGAGTGGTGAAAAATGACAGAAATTTTATAATGGAATTAAACTAATGACAGGTTTAACTGGAGTTAAACTATGACTGTTGAAGATTGAAACAATATGTAAATTTAACATGCAAACGTGAACGTCCTGGGACCCCCTTTTGTACCACTCTATATGAAGTAAGATCTGGGAGCTCATACACAGTGTAATTATAATTATAAAAATGGAATCTGCTGGGTGCGGTGGCTCATACCTGTAATCCCAGCACTTTGAGAGGCCAAGGTAGAAGGATTGCTTTGGCCTAGGAGTTCAAGACCAGCCTTGGCAACATAGGAGGACCCTGTCTCTTAAAAAAAAAACCAAAAAACAAAAAAACATGGAATCCTGCATACTAATCTGTAATTTCTTTTACCTTGGATTTTTATTTTTAAGAACAAAGTCTGGTTGATTTCATAGTTAGAATATATTTTTTATTTTAAAACTTTAATCGTGGAAAATTTCAAGCAGATACAAAAGTAAAGAGAATAGTATGATGAGTCATTATCATCCAGCTTCAGTGTTTACCAACACAGGGCCAATTTTGTTTTTCATCTGTTTCCCTTTTTTCCCTTCTATTTCCACCCTTGTATTATGGTAAAGCAAATTCTAGATATATTTCATCCATAAAATTTTCAACATGTATCCCTGAAAAATTAGGACACTCCTCTTTTTGCTAAACTCCAGGACCATTACTAGGTCTTTAAAAAAAAAAGTACTGTTTAGTAGACAAATATTCTCAGAATTTTAAAACATAGGACCTTGGTATGAATAATCACTTCCTTGGTACCTGTCTGTATCTGTGCGTGTGCTAAGGGCTTTGCATTATTGTTACTCCTTGTGACAACACTGCTTAGGTATCTATTACTGTCCCATTTCATGTGTCAGGAAACTGAGGTTTAGAAGTAATTGTGGTCCCAGAGCTATCCAGTGGTTCTGTGTGGAGAATGTGGGCTGCCTGACAATACAACACATCCCTTTTCCACTCTAGTACGTATTTATTATGTCTGTGGCCACCAGTGATTTTTACAGAAGAGAAAGTCCTCCTTTATGTGCAAGGCATTTTCTTCTGGTTGTTCATTTTTGTAGCCTGAAATTTCTCACATATGGTGATATGCAATTTTCCGTCTGTTTTAGATTAACAAGTGGTGGAATAACCTAAGTGATGGCCAGCGGACTGTGACAGGTTTGTGTTAGCTTACACGTTTTAACCATTCAAGGGAAGAGAAATCAAATCAAAAGGTACAGTATGTCACAGGAGATTGCTTTTGTTCCATGCTCAGCAGTGGTTGAGAAGACAGTCTCTGTACCTATAGGTGAATGTA